ATCGCTTTCTGCCTCACTATACACAACCAGGTTGTCTCTATATACTTCTACGTTATTCAGTCACTTTCTGCTATTGAGTTACCCATGTAGCTCGATCTTAGGTCGAAAATGGTGAATAACTTGGCTTTCTGAAGGCGATCAAGTGTTTCGGTTGCGGTCGGCATTGAACGCTGTTTTAATTCGTTGAGGCTATTCAGCTGTCTGAAACCGACACAACATTTATAGTTTTAGTTAGCTTTCTTTACCAAAAGGACTGGCGAATCGTACGGGCTGTCGGCTTCTTCTACTATTTGGTCACCGAACACTTTGATTCTCCGTTTAGCACAGGAACTCGTCGCGCTGAGAATGGTGTCCTCCCTGGATCCTTCAGTTGGATATCATGCTTTACCTCATCACAATATCCATAAGGTTCTCCATCTCCAGTGAATAAGTCAGCATATTTACTCATCAACATAGTTAGACTTGGTGCTTCTTCCGGAACAATCTCCGCGGTTTCTATCTCAGATACTTGGATGTTCTCATGTATCGTAAATTGCCCACGGTTTGTGCCCACCCTCCTATGCTCCATATCGACTACAGCGCCTACTTCGCTGAGAAAGTCTGCTCCAATAATCATTCGCCGTATATCTGACATTACAATGAAAGGATATCGTATTCTAGCTACTCCGATTTCTACAACGCAGTCTGAAACACCAAGAATCTCTATAGAATGTCCCCCTACCATCTGAACTGCTAATGTGCACGTCCTTATTTCCTTGCATTGTTCTCTACCTATCATTGAAAATGCTACCCTTGTATCGATTAAACAAACTAGTTCTCTTTCATTAGCCCGCAATCTTCTGTACACGACACCGCTTTCGACTAATTCCACAACCCCCAAACACAAACGAGGAAGAGAAGGGAGACTGTATCGTTTAAAGCTTTTCTGCCCTTGTTTTGGGCAATTTCTCCGCCAGTGACTGGTTCCTACGGAAGCGAAACGTCTGCTGTTATATCTTTCTTGTGTCTGCATAGCCGCCGCCTGCTTTTTCAACTCTTCAATCTGGTCTTCATTCTTCTTGGATTCTTGGGACTCCATCATCACTGGAGCAACGTACGTGGTCATTAGTTGCCTTTTGACCTCTTTCCATTTCGTGAACATCCATCGGCCAGGTTGCGTTAAATAGCTGGAACTAATGAGCGATATCCGCAGAGACGCATTCGATGAACTGGGAAGCTGACAACTGCTCTCGCGAATCTTCGTCCATGGTGGGTAATGCGCGTCGCAAAAGATTTGTCAGAGTTACTGCAAGAACCAACGGATCCCCGTCCTGACTAAACTTCACAGTCCAGGACTTATGCGGCGCCCCTTGTCCATCTGTGGGGCTGTTAAAGTCGCACAGGAGCTTCTGAACGACCTGGTCCCGCGTCGCCTAACTTTCAACCTCCGGGGCGCCTGCTCAAGAACTCTCAGCAGAGGCCCCTAGACGACTAGCTTCGCCCTCTGCCCCATCAATGCAGCCGGGTCCGCGACAGCCTCGAAGTCCTTAAGGAATATCCCCACATATCCCTCCTCGAACGGCCGAGGCCAACGTACCTTCATCTCCGGCAGAAGCAGCGACATCATTTGCAAAGAAGTAAAAACCGGTGAAGCTCGAAGGCAATGTTTATCAGGACAAACCCCTGTAGGTACACAAATGCGGTATACCTTATCATTAAGTCTTTATTTGCACATCACTTGCAACTTGGTCAAATATCACTAGATTCGATAGCTTGTTGGATTCTGCACAGTGCTGTGACACTCTTCTAACAGTTCTCTTCTTTGACTGCTTTTTCTAGCGCCCAAAACACATTATCACCTTTCTGATTTCGTCTACTCACTCGTCAACCCAATCACCACAGTACCAACACTGTATAGTTATAACATATTGGAAAATAAATAACGCCACAGAGCTTTAGGGAGATGTTGGACTCGTTAATTTCACGAATGTATACATTTAGCATGCAAGAATCACCTTTATTATGCGGTTGGTGCATTCAAGGCCACCCGTCTGTTGGTTCTTACTGTAGCCTAAAGTTTGAATGTGCCCCACTAGTGACTCTAAACCATAGCAACCCAAGGCAAAACTACCTCTAGTGACTAATCAGATGAGTCAGAAGTGGGAGTGCGTAATTTGAAATAAACCTCTCCGTACAAGTAATGTTGTGTTAAAAATGATTACACAGAATAATGATCTTGCATATGTTCCAAGTAAACCTCCAAGTGTGTCACAGGAGTCCTAGTAGTCAGGTTAAACCGATTTCTGTACATAAATTCGTCTAGATAACTGTGAATCATCGTGTTTTTTGACTCATTCACTTCTCTTGTCGTCTTCTTTTAGGTGACTGAAGAAATTTTCGATGTAATTTTTGTGAGTCCCATAAAAACGATTAACGAAATCGTCCTTATGATTCACCTTGCTGTCAATATGGCATAGGGATGACGGTTAGCTACATTTTTTCTCCCTTCCAATGAGCCTGTTATCTGAGCAGTACTTAAATAATAGATTTGGATAGAATTTTCTGCATAATTCGTATACAACACCCATAATTCAGCCAAAATGTTTTGGAGGCTGACGTTATCGACGTTCGAGAATTGTACGGAGTATACTAACGCAAGATCTCATACCAACAACTTCTAAAGTATTCGTTTCTCGTGTACCAAATAACAAGCAAAAGACCAGATTTAATCGTCCAAAGTACGAGATATATTTCGGGACCAAATCGTGAACCGTGTTGAGTGCTTAACTGGCTATTGATCGTGCATGCATGTGACACGACGGACTACCAAATGGCAAGGATGCTTGACCGGAAGCCTTCAGCTAAACAAGTCGACTTAAACAGTGAGAGTCAGCATCCAATGTTCAGTGATGATTGCTGTGGTCAATAATTTTGGGGAATTATTTGCCGCTACACTGCTATGGACTTGTTTAAGGTTATTAGTCCATTAATTAGGTATTCCGTTTTGGACTGCTATAGTTTAGAGTCACCGCCAATTGTAGGATTTTAAGAAGTAGACCTTGAGACCCAGTGAAATAACTGAAGAACAGTTCCAAGGAAACCTCCCAATTTCTCACAGAAATCCTCGCAGTCAGGTTACACGACTCCCTGTATATAAATTAGTCAAGGCCATTAATCCGTTCATTAGGTAGTCTCGTTTTGGACTGCTATGGGTTTAGAGTCATTCCGTACTACTAACTATCTTCATTGCTGTGCTGGATATGGTGCCAGATGTCCCGGAAATTGTACAACCGTTGTCCTCAGATGGGTTCAACTATCTCACCAAATACAGATTTCCTATTCTCATGTATAACTGGACATATAAGGACTTCGCAACTGTTTGTCCCTTGTTCAATAAATCGCAAACATACGCTTACACTGACTAACGCATAATCGTAGTGTAGATTGTTATTGCCGAAGAAACCGAGATCGTCCATGTACCTTCTTCACCCATAACCATCTATAGCTACGTAGTCAGTTTTGATCCAGCATTACACTGGTGCTGGCAGTCGATGTGTGAAGTTAGTATCAATCTTAAACATGAGGTTGTTTGAAAGAAATTGCAAAAATAAAATCACTGTTGTCAGTTTCCTTGACACAGGACTCCACAGATACATGGCTAAATACTGTCAACTTATTCAGATTCTCTATCTGTGCATTCGAATCATCTAGTCGGTTGAAAGTATTTGGGGAATTATTTTCTGGCAGTAAACTGGACAGCTTATGATGAAAGTCATCACCAAATTCATCAGAACTATCGTCAGGGGATGCATAATATTTGACTACGGAAAGCTATCGACAAACAAAAAGGTGCCTTTCATATTATTACAGACCTATTCACACAGAAATCACCCGTACTTCTATCCACCGCAATCCATTTGATCAGTGAGATTTCCGATGCTGCTAAGGTTGACGTTATGTATATATCAGCAAATACATGACAACTAGCCAAAGAATCTTGTGACATCCATGGAGTGAAAGTTATAGATTCATCATGATGGTGGTGACAAGTGAACAACTATACATATATAGATCCTGTGTACATATCCTAGAAACTGAACATACATAAAGAGTAATAAATCCTAAAGTTTTGTCTAGTGAGGTCGAGGCGTGTTGACAGCGGGTACTTTCGGGCTCTTCACATGATGTGTGTTGATTTCTTCTTCGAGTACCTCAAAAACAAAATGGACTATTATTGTAACCCTATAGTCCAGAGGATAAGCGCTTGAGCTGGATCACAAATTGCATGCTCGGGAGTGAAGCTTCCATACGAAAAGCCTCATTGTTGTTCGTTAAGTGGTGATGTGCATAGGTTTCAGCATCGAATTATTCTAACCCCTGTACCCCAGAAAGCGAAGGTACCACTGTTACTCAACCGAGAGAAACACTTACTGCTATTACCCTCCTATATTTGTCAAAAGTACGACTCCTCTCACAGACCTCTAACAAAATGTAGGCATCCCGGATTATGACAGTAACCACTTTTATCATAACCACTATCCTTTTGATGTTTCTACCATGGTAGGATCTGTCGGAAAATTTATTCTAACTATTATAGGTCTTTGTGTATTTCTGATACTCAACCTTCACCAATACATTAGCGTTACAACTATTGGTCCCGTTCTTAGCATTCAGCCGTAGCCCTAGGAACAAATTCTGACTTACCACCCACCCATCCAAGCAGCATTAAAAGTTTTACGCATTAAATGTGGCTAATAGCCTAACAGGTTGCATTAGTAGTAGAGTACTCTTCAGCTAGACACATGGTCAGGAGTTCAACTCCCCCCTCCGACCGTTATTAAGCTCAATAAAGACGGCAGGTGGTAGGGACTAGTAACCTCACCCTGTCAGGAATAAACCCCATTTTGCTACTAAAACTTCAGAGGTCAAGCTTGAAGCCATATGGACCATTCGGAACGCGAAGAAATAAAATAAATAATAATAATAATAGTAGTCATAACAACTTAACACATAAGGCCTGGTCAAGATGAGTAAAATGCTCTTATTGTGTGTAGTTATCAAACTTTGTACAACGAAAGCTTATCTCACAGGCAATAAAGTTAGAGACAGAGGGAAAGAGAGAGACAGAGAGTGAATTCCACTCATTAATATTAGCTCACTTTGACAAACAGAAAGAAGAATAGAAGAGACAATACAGAGAATAACTACTTTTTTATGAACATAAAAATCGATAAAATAATACAATCACAATTATATGTGTGTATATATATATGCATATAAATTTATTCAACTGTCATGTTTTACTGTCAACCAAACCAAATCTCATTTGACGTTTAGCTAGTCTTTCAGCTTCAGATAAACTGCTTCCCGTAGATGCTGGTGTTGCTGCTGATGACGGTGCTGATACAAGACCGAATTTCTGTGCACGAATCGTTTTAGCCAATTCATCATCTATGGGAGTTTTTTTAGACACTGTGGTGGTAACATCACCAAACTTCTCTAAACGTTTGGCTTTACGCTCTAATTCTGTTAACTGTAAAGGGATAAAATAAGCAGTGAAGTGTTATTTCATAGGGATATATATATATATATGTATATATGGACACTACAATTAAACACCGAGAAATAAATTCAGTTACCATAAACACCCTTACAGGTGAACGACATGAATTTGCCGATGAGTTCGTGTATCTAGGAAATTGTGCGAGAGTGCTGGCGGTATGACCATGCAGTGAGAGCTACAATGGCATAAACCACAAAGAAGAACAGAGTGAACTGAAGCACAGTACACACGTCCTTTGATCGATAGCCAGCCGGACGGATATCAGGTCTACGCCAGAGACGATGCGCAAATTAGTAAATTCTACACGAACTCTCTGTATCCATGCTGATACTTCATCAGCGATGCAACTTCCTCAATAAGTATAGTCGTCAACACGCAAATCACCTCCTACTAGACATTCGAAGATTGCTGCTCCTCAAGCAAGGTGTTCAGATGACACTACATTTTATCAGCTTCTTAGCGCTACGATGACCTCCAGTTAAACACCTCCCTATATGGCTGACATAAACCAACTGTTAAACACTTAATAGATTCATGAATAATTCCCATTCGGACATTAGTAGACAAAAGACAAGTAGTTCAGCAAAGAGTCTCTTTTCGGCGAATTCATTTTCAAAGCTGTACAATCGCAAATATGTATGGTTATTTTGTGTGTGTGTGTGTGTATACATTAAATTTGTCAAACAAAATACGGTTAGTAAGTTCAAATGAATTGGATGTTGATAAGAGGATAGCAACAAAAGTGATGAGTTGTCATAAATGATTGTTAAATAAGAGTTACGTAATGGCATGAATAGTTTGAGGAATGAGTTGTACTCAGAGGGTGAGCATGGAAACAAAATAATATACAGAATTACACAAGGGTTTTAAGTTAGAAAAATAAGCATACACACAGAAGTTTGTTTGATTTGACCTTACTTCTGTTTGCGATTGTACAGCTTTGAAAATGAATTCGCCGAAAAGAGACTCTTTGCTGAACTACTTGTCTTTTGTCTACTTAATAGATTGATGTCAGGTTTTGATTTGACCGCCTCTAATTCTTTTCTAACCTAATTCTATTTCAACTAAAATTACTTGTTTAGATTAAATAACTAGTATGGCGTAATCTGTCACCATGACAGATACAAAGTTTAGGTATTTACATGTATGCACGTTATTCTCATTCTCAAAAACTGAACACTGATGAAGTTATCAAACAATTTGTGTTCTTCTAAAATACAGAAATTGCATAAATGTTTCGCGTGAAATAATACATTACAAAACAATGCAACAAAATACTAGAGACAATTGTCACACTACATAGAATCAATATATATACATAATGCAAAGGAGTATTCTGTCAACTATAACAGCGTTAACTATCACACATTGAAGTATCGCTAATTCAATAATCCTAACTAATGCCTAAAATTTTCACCGATTAGACTGATGTCAAAGATAACAGAAAGAATGTCTAAGCAATCTCTTTCTTTTAAAAGTCAACAAAGTCACATTATCACAAACACGAATATAAAGATCAATAACTCAAACTCAAGCCTACAACAGATACAGTATAATCAATTCAATAAGATACCAGTGCTGAATTTGTAGTGTTTAGAAAGCGATAAAGAAAGCTTCGCACTGGAAAAATCCCATCCAACTCAAAGCCAACAACACTACAAATATGAAACATCAATCTGAGCTAGAAACATTATCTATCAGTTTCTCTAATAATATTATTATTGTATAAAATCAATTCCAAAGATCAACATACATTACAATTATTATTGTTCTCTTTAATTGCTAGTGGAACATAGGGCTTCAGCCACACGTCTCTATTGTGTTCGGTTCTCCATCAATCAACGTCTTCACCTGGCTCCACGTCTGCACACATGCTTTCATCTCCTCTTCACATCACCTCCTCCATGTCAACCTCGCACAGACGACCAACTCGCCACTTCCCGCTCGGGTTCCACTCGGGAGAGAGAGAGAGCCTGGCGTGTGATGTCACTTGATGATGGTTTGTTTTCTCAGAGAATGTCCACCAATCCACCTCCATTTCTTCTTGCATATTTCTTGCACAATGGGTTCCTGCTGGGTTGGTTCGTTCATTGCCAGAGATCCCTTCCTGTTGTTGATCTTCTCTGGTCAGCCATCTGATCTTGAGTAGTAGTATTGAGCGAAGACAGGTGTGTTGATGAAGGTTTGCAGCTTGTTTGAAGTGCCCTTCGTGCCACAGCGCGCCACCAAGTCTCTGATCCATCCGTATAGTAGCAATGACTTCACATTGGAGTTGAAAATCCGGATCTTATTTTTCATGCTGAGTGTGCTACACACAGTCTTGTAATAACAATACATAGTCATTAAATCTACAATGGATCTGATCTGTCGTGTTAACATCGGATATGTAGTTCGTTGTTTTATAATTGTATTATTTTTTTCTATCAGCTCCCTATTATATGTCTACCCCTTTGGTTAACGTGACTCTTCTTCAATTATAGTTGAATTCTACTCAATCCTGTCAATTATATAACGTCATTCAAATAATCTCAGTGTGTTTAGGAAAAAAATCAAAACAAGATCTGTTTTCTGAACGTTTAGCTGTGTAAGCTGCCACAGTTTCTTCATCCATCAGAATTATTCGGATTTTATTGACCATCAAAGTATATGGTCAAAAATTACATAAATTGAAGTTAGTTCATTTGAAGGTCATTTGTCGATAGACATTTGTACCAATAGAAAAGATGTAAGCAGTCATCACATACATTTGTAATGACTAATGCCCCATTGTCATTGTGCATATTTGTCTGTATGAGTGTGTGTGAGTGAGTGTATGTTATTTGTTACATGGAAAGGATGTCAGTTCACATGTGATAAACATGATAGATGTTTTTTTCGTATTCTCATCAGTCTTGCTTGCTTCATTAGAGTTTTCCATATAGGTGATAAGTCTATCCCTTCTCTCGACGATAGCCATTCCATATCGAAAGGAGACAACTGAACAACTTCAAAGACTACTTGCTTCATATAATATTAAAGTCTATTTCAAGCCCTCTAATTCCTCCCTACGGAAAGCTTTGGTGAATGTTAAAGATATGGTTCCTAAAATGTAACGAAGTAATTGTGTCTATAGGATAAAGTGTTCAGAATGTGAAGCCTGCTAATATAGGGGGAGGGAAGGCTGCAGTAGCGGGTGAAGACCAGAGTAAATGATGAACACAGACTGTGCACGAAACGTCCACCTAGAAATGAAGTAGAATTAAAAATTGTAGAAAAAAGATCAGCTATAGCAATGCATGCATGCTGTAGACAGAGGACATAAGATTGGTTTCGACAATGTCGAAATTCTAGGAATATGGCTTTCATTCACATAATGAGAGGCTGACCTCGAGAGCCTTGCATATTTTGACCACATCGAATGCAGGAAATAGGAGAGAAGGGATGGACTTATCACCTATATCACAGACTCTAATGAAGTAAAACAAATGAGAAATATATATGTATATATTCAATATTACGTTATGACCGTATTATGAAATATTATCACGTTTTGACTTGTTTTCCACATAACAAATAACATGCACACACACACACATACACAAATATGCATATATGACACATTGACATTAGTCATTACAAATAAGTGATGACTGTTGGCATTTTTCTCTTGGTACAAATGTCTGAAGATGAGTGGCCTTTAAAAGAATTCACTTCAATTGAAATAATTTGTTAACTATATATTTTGATGTTAATTGGTGGATGGAGACTAGCAGTGGAATCCAGCTAGGATGCGCATTTCGTCCTATGTGGGACTCGTCAGCTAACTGGATGTGCTTGCATTCCGCAGGGAGTGATAATGTTCCCACCAAGGCTAGAACCCAGTGGCCATAGTTTCAAACGCCAAAGTGTTATCCACTAGACCACTTGGGCCACGAGAGCCACCTCTTCTGAAACGGTTCATATTAATTATTTAATTCGATTTTAGATTTCCCCATCGATTGATTGGAGTGAAGTGCTCGGTCTCAGGTTGGCATGTCGGCTTCTTGATGATTAATAAAATCCGAGTGATTCTGATGGATGAAGAAACTGTGGTGGCTTAAACAACGAAGAGTTCAGGAAACAGATCTTGTTTTGATTATTTTTCTTAAACACACTGAGATTAGTTTAAATAATTTATAATGATTCATTCTGACTCGGCGGTCAAATAATTCCAGGAAATTTGTAACAACTACGGTGTGGAAACTTATAATTTGTTATTTTTGTAACGGAGTGTTACTGTTTTTTATTGGTTGCTCAGGTGAAAAGTATCCGCCACACTCAGATAGGCACAAAAGTTGGTTTTGACTGTGATACAATAACTTTGTTATGTAAAATACACGATAAATATATATATATATCATTTACACATCAAGGTAAATTTAAATTATAACTAGATAATCAATATCTGATTGATTACATTACCTTGAAGATCCTCCGAAATAAATCAATCGAAAATTATCCAATCAGGTTGTTAGATTATTATGTCAGCGCATGAATCAATCATAACTTCACGGTTAACAAAGATAGTTAGTCCGTCCTAACAGGTGTTGTCTAAAATTTACAATTCCTATGACACACACTTTTGGAAATATTCCTTTTGTTACTAAGAAATTTTACTATATACACATGCAGTTTTACAGCTTGAGAATGATATCGCTGAAAGGGGAGTAACTCTTGATTGAACATCTTTTCCTTTAATACGACTCAGTACATAATCGACTACCATTTATTTGGTTGGAGGATTTCATCATGAACTGACATCAGTTAGAGAACGATTGGAAAACCGCCTGGAAGTACTGGACGGCCAGCTGTCTCGTCAGGCCAGTTCGGGACTCTTCAGAAGGACGCACCCAGCGCCAGAGTCCGAACTCACGACCTTCTGGTTACGAGGAGAGCTAGCTTGTAGACCATTAAGCCACTGGGTCCCACCTGATACAATGGCCAGTCCATAAACTCTAACTTCTGTCAATTCATCACACATAGCGCGACCACTTCGCAATGTCTTCTTCAATGAGTTACTGCATCACCTTCAACCTGCTGCACCCTACTGATCACGGCTTCCCACTAAAACCCAGGGTCATTGCCTGAATAGGGCCAGTGGTTCTCTAATTGATGGCAGCTCATGATGAAATCCTCCAACCAATCAAACAAAACAAAACAAAAAAATCCCTACAAAACCAATACTTGAAAATTAACATTTATTTAACATTGTGAATTCCTATCATGCCTCCGTTTCAAGACAGTGAAACACCATATTTATTGAGCGTACCTACAATTAGGCAAGTTCATTCTCGTATTTTCGAACATTATCCTGCATGATTAAACAAGGAAGCGCCAAACATGGTTTGTTCCTAGCTCTGGGTTTATCACATATATGTAGACAGTGAGTACATGATTGATGTTAACAAAGCATTGAAAGCTATTTATCTGATATTTGACTGTGATATCCTGAGTTCCGTTACAAAACTCAGGCACAGAAGTCCAGCACTCTCAGTTGCCACACTTCATGGACCACAAAAAGGAAGGCAGATGAAACGTAGATTCAAAAGAAGAACAACAATAATAAACAGAAATAGGAGGGAGAAAGAATAGTGACATGGAGAAACAATAGGGTCTTTTCTTGGATATTAGAAGATGACAGAGAGTGAATGCATCTGCACCAGCCCACAAGGTTAGCATTTAAAGTTATTTATCGCATTCCAACTAATATTAAATTTTGCTTTATGAGTTCATCTTCTGTATACAACTGAAGCTATCAGAATCCACCTGAAGTAGCTAGACCTGCATGTTCGCAAGAAATTTGTGTAGCCACTTTCTTAACCCCAAACTGTCGTTACATCAATGTAAAAACAAACCCAGACAATTACCCCCCTCCCACCCCCATCCCCTAAGCCTTTTACAAGTTATGATTGTCTTAATTATTTTACTGTCCTGCCTACTTCATCTTTAATTGTCTATTACGTAATTAATCTGGAGACTTATATTACTTCTTGATTACTCCTCTTATTTCTTCCTCCAAAATTATGTATCACTCAATCCACTTGTTTAACTTTTGCAATCATTCCTACAAAAAACATTAAAGTTGTGATTTTTTAAAAATTCCTTTACGTTCCCAGTGGAACATGGGAAGGGCTTCAAGCTAGAGCTTTTTCGAAGTTTCGGCAGCAGTGGTGTTTATTTTCACGGGATGGGGTTGCTGGCCTCATGCTCACAACCTTCCCTCTTTACCAGTCTTAATACTGACTTAGCGAGGTAAAGGAGTGCGTGGATCGGGGACAGAACTCCGAACCATGTAGGGCATGGTTGGCGAGCATTCTACCGCTATGCCACCTATACTTCATATATATATATATATATATATATATATACAGAGTTTCTTGTTACTAGTTCTGTCTGATCGGTTGGCCATTTGATCTTCAGTATGGGGCCAGCGAAGTGTCTACAACAGGCTGTTGGAAATCCTTTCTGTTAGACGCACGATATGTCTTTGACCCATGTAGAAGCAGTGACTGATTAACTTCCAATTTGTATTGAAAATTCGAGTTTTGTTATTTATGCTGAGTGAGTGACGGCAGAAGATTTCAAAACTGGTTTCAGGTTGATGAAGACGCATTTTTCCTTTCCGATTCTGACTGGCTGTCTGGCTTTGACATCTTCATCCGTTCCAACTACCTTCCTAGATAAGTGAAGGAAGTAACTTCTGTCAAATTTCTCCCAATGATGGTGATTGGTCCTGTGGTGGTGGTTGTTGGTACGATGGTTATCTTCATCACCTCCGTTTTCTCTATGTACACTTGCAGTCCTGTCTTCGCTGATTGCCTCTCCTGCCAGATTGTTGGTTTTCGCCTGCCTCTAAGTCTTCGAGTTTGTGTGACATTAGACATATATGTCATCTGCGAAGACCTAAAGCCGAAAACCAAAAAGTTGGCGGAAAAGGTAGACACCGAAGACAGGACTTCAAGTGAGCATAAAGAAGACGGAGGTGATGAAGAGATACTTAACCAACAACAACACCAACAGCCAGAACCAATCACTAACAACGGGAGGAATTTGAAGGAAGTCGATTCTTTTACTTATATATATGCAGCATCGTTTCAACAGCAAGTGGCACAAATGAGGATGTCAAGGTCAACTAGGATCACGCGTTCATCATTACTGTGAAATCGGCGTGGAAATCTACTACACTCAGCACAAAAAAAAACAACACCCGAATTCTGAAAACTAACGTCAAATCAGTCAGTGCTTCTATATGGGTCAGAAACTTGGAGTGAGTGTCACAAAAAGCATTTCCAACAGGCCACTGAAAACGTTCATCAACAGGTACCTTTTTTCTACCTCGATACTGAAGACTAGAAGATGATCAGCCAAAAAGGATAAACAACAAGCCACACTGTTGCAATGAACCAACCACGAACCTATTGCCCAAAAATGTAAAATGGAGATGGATCGATGGCATAGTGGGGATGAGACACCGTTGAGTGACAGACACATCAAGCGTCAGACAGACAGATACTCGAGTGAAAGCCGAATGAGAAACGACGAGTTGGGAGTCGCTTCGATGGCGACATGGAGGGAACATCGTATGAGGAGGACATGAAAGCCTGTAGACAAACGTGGAGCCAACTGAAAGTAATGGAGTAAAGAACCAAGTGTGTGCAATGGACACATACTGCTGAAACCCCAAGGTCCACTCGGAACCCAAGAGAATCATCATAATAATAATAACTAATTGTCATCATCACCACGAGACAGTTGAAAGAAATAAAAATACAAAATTTCATGAATAATAGAGACAGTTCAAAGAAACAATCATCATCATCAAACTATTATACCTTTTCTAATGTTTTACTTGTAGTCTGACCAAATCGTTCAGCACGTTGTTTTAATTTTCCTAATTCATCAACTTCTAAGGAGTCACCACTGCTGTTAATCGGTAGACCAAATCTTTTAGCACGCTCGATCAGCTTGCTATCACTTAGAATACTTGTCCCATTGGAAGTACTACCACCAAAGCGTTTAGCACGAAGAGCAAGACGCTAAAATAAAAGGAAAAACAATAATATATGTGGTGAGAGCTGGCTGCGAACAAGCCAAGATTGTAAACGAAAATTTATGTCAATGTTCACGTCCCAAATAGGAGTCATGACAAAAAAAACAATAACAAAGCTCAACGCTGAGGAACTCAACAGCCAATCACAGCAGACTTAACATGTGCAAATACGATTCGCAGATATATGGCTCAACCTTCTGAGAAGCTGTACAGAATAACCTTCGGCAAGAAAACAACCAATCAGAAGACGTTGCTTCTCCGCTGACAATAATGTATATAAAAATCTATAAATATCTCATGATTTTCTCAATAAACAATCTGTTGCCTGGCTGTCTTCTGTCGTTACAAATATACACAGAGACATTAAATTGGCTGTTCTTCAAAGCACACCATATTAAAGAATTCTTTTTCAGGTTCCGACTGGTCCTATTCAGGTAAATAGTTAACTGGGTTCTAGTGAGAAGCCGTGTGACCAGTAGGGTACAGAAGGTCGGATGTGAGGAGATATACTCGCCAGCGATGACTTTAGCTAGTGGTCACCCCATATGATGAATTGGCAGAATTTGCTATTTGCAATTAATAGTGTTCTCTGAGCTGGTTGGTTTAGTTGCGGAGCTTTCGTCGCCCCCCCCCTGCTGGATAACATCCCCTTTCAGCGCAATATTTAGCATAAAGTGAAGTGATTTAAATTTCTTCATCAGTGAGATAATTGCGTCTCATGGTAACCATCTTTACATATGTATTGACCATTTTCTATTGACTTGGATTTTAAACTTTCTGGTCACCTGATTTACTTTTTATTAGTTGGTATATTTCGTCTATATTAACGTGTTTGTTAATTGCATTTTCGTTTGAGTACCAGGCTTCTAGGAATTCCCTGACTTCACTTTTGGTGTTTCCTCTGTCTAAGATTTCGACATTATCCCAATCAAACTGATGTCCGATTTTAAAAACAACATCAACAACGAAACCATCATCAAAGACCACAAGAAAATTCATCCTATCATACATGAGAAATATCTCTGAAATAACAGCTAGAATATTGAAACCGTTAGATATAGATATAGCACACAAGCCAGTCAAATCGCTTAATTCGATATTATGCAAACCGAAAGACCCATCCAACAGAAAAACGAGATAAAATTAATACCATTTACAAAATAAATTCTATGAACTGTAGCAGGCATTACATCGGGCAAAGTGGGCGTCCCCTTCAAATAAGAATCCAGGAACACAAATCAGCCGTGAAAAGACACGATATGTATTCTTTCATATCAATGCATGTAGACAAAATTATGGACATCAGTTTGATTAGGATTATGTCGAAATCTTAGACAGAGGAAACACCAAAAGTGAAGTCAGGGAATTCCTAGAAGCCTGGTACTCAAACGAAAATGCAATTAACAAACACGTTAATATAGACGAAATATACCAACTAATAAAAAGTAAATCAGGTGACCAGAAAATCCAAGTCAATAGAAAATGGTCAATACATATGTAAAGATGGTTACAAATCTCTATTATTATTTCAGAAGTTGGTATTCATGGACTGACCATTGGATCAGGGTCCCAGCGGCTTAATGGGTTTACGAGCTCGCTAACCTTGCAACCAGAAGGTCCTGGATTCGAACCCCAGTCGGTGTGTGCTTTTGAAGAGTCCCAAACTAGACTGATGAGACAGGTGATTGTCCAGTACTCCAAGCTGGCTGCTTTCCAATGGTCGTCTAACCGATGTCAATTCATGATGAAATCCTCCAACCAACTAATCAATCAAATCACTGCCAAGCAACACTTGGATTATAAATCCATTAATTTTAGCGTACAATAGCCAGCAAGTATAGGCGTATTAGAAAATGTATTATAGAACAGGTATAGAATGGCATGGAATAATAAGAGTCAGTCAGTAATAGTTAGTTTTGATTATCATATGGAATATGCATGGTCAATAAGATACATGAGATAAAATAATTCAACGGAAAGTACAGGTTTCAAGGGTGAGTAATAAGTCAGCAGTGGTGTGACACAGAGACACTATGTGAATACTACTACTGCGTCGGTGGCACAGTCGCGTTATGACACTCGCCAACCATGCGCATGCTCTTGGGTTCGATCCCCGGCCGCCGACGCACTCCTTCACCTCAACTCGCTTAGCCAGAAATAAAAGCTGGGATGGGCATGAGGCTGGTTAGCAACCCCATCCCATAAAAATAAAAACACCACTGCTACAGAAACTTCAAGCCTCTAGCCTGAAGCAGCACTATGTTTCAGCACTGAGAACGTGAAGGAATAAAACAAACAACAAAACAGAGAAATAAAACAAACACATGAGATAGACTAGACGCATAACTGAAGTGGTAACAATCACCTCTGGTCTTTTTTTTGTACGCAGAAGAAGTATGTCTAACTGTTTATTTTTACCTTGGCCTACATACAGATAAGGTCAACAAATCCTCCATAAACATTGACACTTTAAATTCTTATCCCAAATTTTTTTTCTTTCTTCTCCTCCTCTTTGGCCTTGGTTTCATGGACAAACGTTCATTTGTGACCTTTTACGACTTCATGACCTTTCTTATTGTTACTGTCTCCCTTAGGTTTAAGCAATGCTTTTCAAACTTGTTATTATATTTACAAGAGACAGGACAAACCGTGGCTCACTACGGACACTTGGAGGCTAATAGAAGAGAGAAGGATGGTGAAACAAAAGATTATCCAGTGCACCGACGAGCAACAGAAACAGGAGTTGAATGCAAGCTACAAAACACTGAACAAAGGAGTAAAGAAGAGTGCCAGAGAAGACAAAAGAAAGTATTATGAAGCCATGGCCAATGAAGCAGAACAAGCAGCAGGCAAAGGAGACCTCGCAACACTCTACCAAACAACTAGGTACCTCTTAGGCAAAAATTCGTCACAAATTAAGCCAGTGAAGGATGACAATGGAAAGTCAATCACCAAAGAAGTGGAGCAAAGGAAACAGTGGGCTGAACACTTCAAAAGACTACTAAACCGACCGCCACCTACAACGCGCCCAACAATACCAACGACGGAAGCAGAATTACCAGTGAACATCAACCCCCCGACGAAATCAGAAGTCCTGAAGGCAATCAAGATGCTGAAAGCTGGAAAAGCAGCAGGACCAGATGGAATCCCAGCAGAGGCATTGAAAGTGGACCCAGAGACAACAGCGGACTTGATGACGCCACTACTGGAGAAGGTGTGGAAAGAAGGCAAAGTACCCGAGGATTGGAAGAAAAGATACTTATTCAAACTACCAAAGAAAGGAGACTTAAGTCAATGCAAGAACTGGCGCGGAATTATACTCCTGTCCATCCCAAGCAAAATACTAAGCCGCATCATCCTGGAAAGGATCAAACAAGCCCTGGATGAAAAACTTCGACCGGAACAAGCTGGATTCAGGAGAAACAAGTCATGTATTGATCAAATCGCCACACTACGGATCATCATTGAACAAAGTTTGGAATGGCAGTCACCTCTCTATCTCAACTTCATCGACTTTGAAAAGGTCTTCGACAGACAGTGTCGATCGAGAGGTGATTTGGCAACTACTTCGCTACTACCAAGGGGTGCCGCCAAATATTATACATCTCATCCAACAGTTGTATGACAACGCTGCATGCCAAGTAATCCACAACGGGAAGCTCACGGAATCCTTCGAAGTGAAGACAGGAGTAAGACAGGGTTGCCTACTATCGCCAATGATTTTCCTGATTGCAGTAGATTGAATAATGTGACAGACAGCGGGCAATGAGGAAACAGGCATAAAATGGACTCACACAAAGAACTTGGAGGATCTGGACTTCGCCGATGATATATGTCTGATTTCCCACAAACTGGAAGATATGCAAGTGAAAAGTAACAAGTTGGCAGAAGAAGCATCAAAGATAGGACTCCAGGTGAACATAGAGAAAACGGAGGTGATGAAGATTCCTGGCCAACACCAACAACAACTGACAGCAATCAGCATAAATGGAAGGAACCTGAAAGAAACTACCTCCTTTACCTACTTGGGAAGGATTGTTTCAACTACAGGCGGAACTGCCGAGGATATCAAAGCAAGGATCTGGAAAGCAAGGCAAGCTTTCATTACTCTCAAGTCTGTGTGGAGGTCAACAGCATTCAGCGTCAAAAATAAGATCGGGATTTTCAACTCCAATGTGAAGTCAGTACTACTATACGGATCAGAGACTTGGCGTGTCACAAAGAGCATCTCAAACAAACTACAGACCTTCATTAACAGTTGTCTTCGCTCAATACTCAAGATCAGATGGCCAGAAAAGATCAGCAACAGAGATCTCTGGGAGCGAACCAACCAGGAACCGATTGTGAAACAAATAGGCAGGAAGAAATGGAGATGGATTGGCCACACTCTGAGGAAACCAGCAAGTGACATCACTAGACAAGCCCTCGAGTGGAACCCGAAAGGGAAGCGACGAGTTGGTTGTCCAAGGGTGACCTGGAGGAGATCATGTGAAGAAGAATTGAAAGCGTATGGGCAGACTTGGAGCCAGGTGAAAACTCTAGCAGAGAACCGAACGCAATGGAGACGCATGGCTGAAGCCCTATGTTCCTCTAGGAACTAAAGGAAATAATAATAATAATTATATTTACAAAATCCTGTTTATTTTACTTCACTAAATTTATTTTTACTTAATAAGCATTCACTAATAGTACTTTTAATGTTTACATTACATCATTGCTGTCATTTGTCCCCGTGAACATACGCATTTAGTGTCTCCCATTTGTTGGTTTATTTCTCTGTAATATTCAAACTGTCTCACACACCATAACTGATTACAATCACCCTTGAAACTACTTACTTCCGCTGACTATATATACACACAAATACACATCATTAAATTATTTCATCTTACGTTCTTATTGACCATACATCTTTTCAACAATAAATCAGTGGCTATTAACATTCCATTTTGTACTTGTTCCACAATACATGTTTAGATATAATTA